TCTTTAAGCTAAGAGACATTGTATTCAGTAATGTCTAACTTAAATTTTTGTATATTACATGTGCATTTTAATACAGTATTGAACTAAATGCTTAAGTGTAATGGCTTTTTTAAAGTTATATATACTGAATCAAAGAGAAGTACTTTTTTTTGGGCCACCTGGTATATATTTTACACTTAATGGTCTGCTCCCGAGGGAAATAGTTTGTTTTGTTTTCCTGAGAGCCTCAACTTAAAATATATATATATATATATATAACACCTGCTCGGAAAAAGCAACCAGCCAGAAAGTAAAGAAATGTGTAACTGTCATGATAAAGACAAATGTCCGCTTGGCAATAAATGTTTATCAACAAGTGTTGTATACAAAGCAGAAATCTCGACAAGTGACGGCGAAGAAACTAAAGAGTACATTGGAATGACGGCGGGGACGTTTAAGAAGAGGCATGCCAACCATAAAAAATCACTAACTGTTCCTCGGTATTCAGCGGAAACAGAGTTATCAAAGTATGCGTGCAGAAACTCAAGAAAAGCGGGAAGCAATACAACATCAAGTGGAGCATACTAAAGCGTGCCCGTGCGTATACGGCTGGTGCAGCAAGATGCAATCTGTGCCTTGAAGAGAAGGTTTGCTTACTGGAAGCTGACAAAAGCAGGATATTGAATAAACGCTCAAAAATATTCGCGAAATGCTGTCATAGAAATAGTTTTAGCGCGCGCAAATTTGAACGCACGCGAGATGCGTCAGCAAACCGTTAGTTTATAGCACGTCATTGAATCAACTTCATTCGCCTGAAGATCGCTTCGAAAGAAGCGTGAAACACAGTGTAGCGACAAATATATTTTAAGATTAAAGAAACACAGTGTAGCGACAAATATATTTTAAGACAAATATATTTTAAGATTATATATATATATATATATATATATATATATATATATATATATATATATATATATATATATACTAATAAGGCAGTAATCTATTGCAGTCGTGTCCTCGTTAGTATTCTTTATATAATGAATACTAATAAGGCAGTATATCTATCGAATTTGTAGTCGTGTTTGAAGCCGTTTAATAAACTCGCAGGTCGTGTTTTATTATAGGTCTAAAGCCACTCGCACTGCGCGCTCGTGGCTTTAAACCTAATAAAACACTCCTGCTCGTTTATTAAACAGTACTTAAAACATGAGTAAAGTGCAAGTGCAACGACTCAACAAATTCCACTAGGCATCTTTATATATTTTTATTATGTTTGGTCTTAAAGTTATTTGCTGGCCTCTGCTCTTAATCTTTAAGCTAAGAGACATTGTATTCAGTAATGTCTAACTTAAATTTTTGTATATTACATGTGCATTTTAATACAGTATTGAACTAAATGCTTAAGTGTAATGGCTTTTTTAAAGTTATATATACTGAATCAAAGAGAAGTACTTTTTTTTGGGCCACCTGGTATATATTTTACACTTAATGGTCTGCTCCCGAGGGAAATAGTTTGTTTTGTTTTCCTGAGAGCCTCAACTTAAAATATATATATATATATATATA